TTGGTAAATCTTATAAGTAGTGTACAAATAATTACAACATTTCGAAGTTGTAAATGAAACAAATTAGTGCTGTCAAACGAGTAATCGCGATTAATCGCATCCAAAATAAAAGTTTTTGTTTACATAGTATATGTGTGTACTGTGTATATTTATTAAGTATATATAAATACACACACATGCATGTGTATATATATTTAAGAAAAAATATGTTACGTTTATATATTAAATAGATTTATATATAATATACATGTTATGAATATAAATATATACATGTAAATACATGTAAATATTTTCAAAATATATGCTGTATGTGAGTATTTATATATACATAATAAATATACACAGTACACACACATGTGTTATGTAAACAAAAACTTTTATTTTGGATGTGATTAATCGCGATTAATCGTTTGACAGCACTAAAACAAATATAATAATACTATTTCAGTCTTTCTACTTTAAAATTCTTAAATTAATTATGTAACTTGCAGTTTCATTGTAATTATTTGTGGAATTTACTAGTAATTTCTGAGTCAAAATTTTTTCTACACCAAATGTTTTTCAGTGTATGTAAATTAAGTGAATGAGGAGGCTGTCAAGCTCCAAATTGACAAAAATGGCACCATAAAAGTAGTACATCAGTTTTTAAACTTCCAGGCAAGAGTTTGTCTTGACACACAACGAGTGTTACACGCCTATTAAGTATATTTATATAGGTTCTCCTCTATTAAAACGAGTGAGCGTGTTGGCTTGATATGTAGTGTTTTTTGGTGAACAGATGGTTTGTAGCATCAGCTGACAGCTCAGAGAGAGACCTGCTCCCAGGGCGGACTGCATCTCTGGCACCGGTGCTGTTTTCTTCTTGTTGAAGGACCGGAAACATGCGGTCCCAGGGTGCCTGACCGTGCTGGATAATTGACACATTTCCACAAGGCTTTGGTGACTCCCGTCTTCTGTCAGTGTCATGTTAGATACGGTGAGGTAAGCAGAAGTGACATATCAGGCCAGTTTAGCACGCTGAAGTTTGTTCTCCAATGGGATTATGGGGAAGATCGTTTGAAAAGGTACCTGTGGAGTTCAAGCTTGACATAAGCATAACTCTGAACTTTGTTTGTTATACTGACAGAATGATTGAAGCCATTTGACACATGGATATTCTGTTTGATTGCAGTTGTTTGCCCCACATGAATTTGCTGCATTTGCTTGCATGTCAACTTGACAAATAGCGATTTAACTGCTCATGAAGTCTGTTTCTCAAAGGTATTATCTGGATAAATGTCAAATTCTTGCCTTTTAAGTTGTAACTCAAGGTTAAACTCTTGTTAAACTCTCTGCAATAGGGCTTTTCAATGTGCTTTTTTGCATTGTTAATCCAACACAGTAGTTTATCATATAGTTTATCTTTTTTGAGAGATTGTCCTTGGCAACAAATATTGGAATGCATTACTATGAACAACATAGGCCAAACAATATTCAAGATTATTAACATAAACGGACGGTTTTAGTTTTCAAATGTCTTGTATTTCAATCATTACGCCAGTAGTTGAAAACGCAAAACACAATGTAGTTTGCACAATCCATTTTGAACCACGTTTATCCTCTACTGAAACAGTCTGGATCATATTTTTAAAATTGGTTTACAGTGTCGTTCGAAAACCAAAACACCAAGTGCTTCATTTGAAGAAAGATTTATTTGCATGATTCAGTGAAACTGACAGCACTAGGCATTATAAAACAGTGTCGGATATCACAGTTATGCAGGCTAGTTTTTATCTCGTTGTCGTGAATCCTGACTCGCGTCATCCTCTCCCTGTTTTTAGCCAGGACACAAACTCTTTTGCCGCCTGCTCCTGCAGGTAAGAGCTGACGTCACTGGTGAATGTGCCGTCTGCGTGCCGTCGTGTGGGGACTCTGGAGGAAAAAATAATTATTGTTTATGGAAAGGGTGATATTCTTCCTGTCAGATTTAAAAAGGACATCAATAATAAACTGTATCTATTTACAGTACCATTCAAAAGTAAAAAAAAAAAAAAAAAAAGTATTTTTATTCAGCAAGGAAGCATTAAATTGTTCAAAAGTGACCAAAGACATTTATAATGTTTCAAAAGAGTTCTAATTCAAATAAATGCTGTTCATTCAAACTGTCTATTCACAAATATAACAGGGTTTCCGCAAAAATATGAAGCAGCACAACTGTTTTCAACATTGATAATAATATTCATGTTTCTTGAGCAGCAAATCAGCATATTAGAATGATTTGTTGAGTATCATGTAACACTGAAGCTTGGAGTAATGATGCTGAAAATTCGGCTTTGCATCACAGCAATAAATTATATTTTAAAATATATTTAAATAGATGAGTTATTTTAAATTCTAATAATATTACTGTTTTTTTTTTGTATTAAATAAATTGATACAGATAAGCCTTGGTGAGCAGACGAGATTTCAAAAGATCAAAAACATTTAAAAAAAAAACTTTTTTTCAGTCGTTCTAATGCTGTAGTCATGTCATGTGAGAATTACTATAATTTAAATGAATTTCCAACTGGTGAATGTCATGTAAAATTATATAATAGTTAAATAGTCTACACACATTTGCCAGATGTCATTATTTTTATTTTTTTACCTGTTCTTAAATATTTTGCAAGAACTTACAGAATTGAAACGTACCCGCTTCTCTTGGAGTTCATTAACCACTGAACGAAGTCTTGTGCTCTCCTGGTCTCCAGGTATTTGCTGTAATCATTTGAGAATGTGCCTTCTGAATGTCTCTTCATGTTGTTTACTTCTCTTGGGTCACTAAATAGTGCGTCCTCCGACATAAGGCTGGAAGTCAATACCAAACATGTCATTCTCCAAAAAGAATCACCATGTCGGAGATATGTCAACCCCAAAATCAAAAAAAAAAAAAAAAAAGCATTTAATTGAATTTATTAGTGACATACTTTTACAGAAGTTTGCAGCAAAATTATAAACATTTTAAGTAAATAAAAATACAAAAACAAAACCTTAAAATATGCTTAATTTTATTTAAGCCCCTTTTGAGGTTAAATGTGTCCCAGATTGTATTACTACAATAAAATTCCCATCTGCAGAGGCTATTAAAAATGAAATAACTCTGAATTGAGTTACTCTTACCTGGAGTTTTCTTCCATGTTTTCTTGTATGGGAATCTGCAGGCTGCTCTGGATCAGAATAAGAAGTAAAAGTCCAATGAAGGCGTAGATCCTTGTCATTATCTTACCTGAGGATCAGACCATACAGCTACTAAGTAAACCATTAATGCATTCTACCTCAAAAGATATATAGTATAGTGCCAAAAAGTTCTCCGGCTCACCTGGATTGCGTTGGGTCGTCACGGAGAAATAAAGTCAAAGATTTTGATGTTGACTCACTGGTTTCTCCTTCCTGGCTCCCAGTGCGATTTCACGGTCCCAGCCTGATGTTCTGAGTCTTATATAGTGATGCCCAGGTGGCGTGATCCACACACACACACATACACAGACACACTTATTAGTTTCAATCCATTAATCTCAATGCATCAGTGTATTTGCACTGTGAACCTGTTTAAAAAGAGAGATGGGGAGATGGTCAAACAAGTCAAAAAGTCACTTAAGGGAAAAGTCAAACATGATTCTGTCTTGTTAAAAACAGAGGAGAGCAAATAATTGCATAGGTACATTCAGGATGAGATGCATTCAGTCAGATTTCCAGGCAGTGATGTTTGCACTCTGCAAAGCTTTCTTTTTGTGCCTTTTTTTTTTTTTTTTTTTTTCCATCAATAAATGTCTCCTTTTGCAATACAGGGGATTTTTCAATACACTGAAAAAAATATTTATAATGTAAGGTTTACTTTTAAGCAATTTTCACTCTGAAAGTGCTAGTAAATACAAATAATTACAAAGAAATGACAAGTAACTCTGAATTGTGATATGTGAAATGTTGAAGTAGAAAGACTGAAATGGTATTTTCTTATAAAACATCCACTCCAATAATCTCTCTCTATATATTGCATATGTATTTTTAAATGTTTAAAATATTTAAATATTTTACTTTTATGTAGAATAGATGTCAGCTCTATTCTATTGTCATTTATAGGCTATTATATGTTCATTTATTTATACATTGATTATATAAATGTTTATAAGTTATGCTTCTCAACTGAAGCTTTTCCACTGCATGTCATTATTTTTAAAGAATTTATAAATTCTGTAGATTTTATCAGGTTAATTTCCCTGAAGATTCTCAGTAAAACTAGTAACAGTAACATATACGCTTATAGTAGTAATGACACCTTTTTTTTTACTTGGACATCCTTTTTAACTAGTAATAGCAGCTCGACGAACACTTTTAAACTAGTTATAGCAGCTTGGACTGTTTTAAAGCTTAACTGGTGGTGCAGTAAAGTAGTTTTAGGGACAAAGACCTAGAAAAAAATGGAAATATTGGTTCGAGTTGTGGAGCATTATATAGGAAAGTTAGGTTTCCTAGTTGAGTGGTCTGTGTGGATAGCCGTCATTATTCAGGAATATTTAGAAACTGTATAATACTTTATTTAATACTACTTATAGTCCTGATTGTGCTGTCGTGATTGTACATTATTTCATGTTGTTAATGTTTCTTGATTTTTGTTAGACTGAAATTCATTAATGTGGGTTTTAGTTGATATATCTATAACATCAGTGATGTCAAATTCAGAGAAGTTTTTTTTCAATGACATTCATCTGTGCTCTTGGGACTGTCAGACAAATTTCCTTTGGCAGACATTTCAATAGTTCAACCAGCAGGTGGCACTGTTCATATACCATCATATAGACTATTATATGCATACACTACCAGTCAAATATGTAAAAAAAAAAAATTGTCAAACCTATTAAATGACACAGAGATAGAAGTATCAAAATTCAGTCCAGTGTGTCCAAACTTATATAATATGTAAAATATAAAATGGAAATTAAGATGTAGAATTGTTTCACATACAGAAATATTTTCCCTTTTTTTTTCTTGTTTTCAGGATATATGAAGAATGAGTCAAAAGACCAAGGCATTCAAATCTCCAATGTTTGAGTTGATCAGTTTTCTTACAGACATGCTTAAACCACACATTGAAGTCAGTGCATAAACACAACTACATAGAACACAAATTGATTGTATTCCACAATCAATTTGTAAATGTAACATTATGAAACATGCCAGACGTCTGTGATACAAACTACATTCATATCAGGTCACATTTGTAGAGTAATCATTACAGCAATTTGATAAAAAAAAAAAAACAGCTAATACAAATTTCACATATTAAAAAAAAATATAAAATCTTACATGTAACTGTCATTGGCTCTGACATAAGAGTTTGTTCCCATTAACATGTTCTAAATACAGACTAGCATGTAAAGCATCTGTCATTAACAGTGTTTGTGTCAATGTAAAAGGAACATTTGTCTTCATAATGCATCAATAAGTCCATTTATTTTTTCTCCGCAAAGCAGTTCTGCAGGAAATGGTTCAAGTGTGCGTAGAGGTGGTAACGCGCTTTACCAGACAGTCCATGATCCTTATCGGTGTACCACTGAGAAAATATTACACATTTAGGCATTTAGAGTGTTTTAAAGAAAACAAGACCTTTCAGAGCTTAAAGGAAGAGTTCGCCCAAAAATGAAAATGTATTGACCCTCAGGCCATCATCTGAACAGACTTGAAGAAATGTAGCATTACATCACTTGCCCACCAATGGATGCTCTGCAGTGAATGGGTGCCGTCAGAATGAGAGTCCAAACAGCTGATAAAAACATCACAATAATCCACAAGTAATCCACACCACTCCAGTCCATCAGTTAGCATCTTGTGAGGCGAAAAGCTGCGTGTTTGTAAGAAACAAATCCATCAAGGCATGTTTAACTTTAAACCATTGCTTCCGGCTAAAATACGAGTCCATAATCCGTAATTAAGTCTGTTGTCTTTTCACATCAAAATCCAACAAGAAGTTTGTTTAAAACTGGTTTTGACTGTTTTTGCTTGTAAACGGTGCTTGATCTGTGCAGATTTCTTTCCTGATTAAGACAGATGTTCAGATGACTTCCATAATCCATAATACTGCTTTCACTGGAGAAAGCAGTATTATGGATTATGGAAGTGAAAAACGTCTTGATGGATTTGTTTCTATGAAACACACATCTTTTGGCTTCACACGGAGTCAACTGATGGACTGGAGTGGCGTGGATTACTTGTGGATTATTGTGATGTTTTTATCAGCTGTTTGGACTCTCATTCTGACGGCACCCATTCACTGCAGAGCATCCATTGGTGGGCAAGTGATGTAATGCTACATTTCTCCAAACTCATCTACATTTTGCATGGCCAGAGGTGTGTAAATTTTCAATTTTGGATGAAGTATTCCTTTACTAAAAATTCATCAAAACTCACCATTGCTTCAAAATCAACTTGATTTTCCACCAGGGCTTTGGAAATTTGGGCAGCTTGCTGGAAGTGCACGTTGTCTAGAGTAGTGAAGTCAAAATGGCAAGAAAACATCTTTAAATGCTGCGTATTTAGTCAAGACACTAGGTTTTGGATCAGAGTCAGTTAACCAGATTATAAATGCGATATATCTATAAACTTTACATTGCTTACCGTCTGCAGTGCCGTGCACCAGCATGTACTGCACTGACTTGAAATTTTTTGCCCTGTCGGTCACTGTTGAATTCTGCAAATCAACCAAATATATGAAGCACTGTATTGATAACTGTTCATAATTTCTTACTTTAATTTAACTTACTTTATAACTTTCAGTGTTTTCCTCAGGGCGATGCATGTATCTCTCTGTATATACGGCATCTGTGAAGAATGCAGTGTGTGAGTTAAGTTTGCTAAATTGTCTGTGGTTAATCTATATCATAAATCAGAAAACATTTTGAAATCCATACCATAATAGTCCCACTTAGCAACAGGAGCCACGGCAATTCCACATTTGAACAGTCCACTTCCAGATCCCAGAACCATGGATGTGACATAACCACCATACGACTGTGAGCAAGACAAACGTTTCATGATTAGTGTGATGGTTTTCAGTCAACAGGCTCATCGTAGATCTTTTAGCGATTGTCGTTTTACCTTAATTAGAAAAGAGAAGATCGTCAAGAACAATTTGAATGATGGTTTCGATGGATACTTACTGAAAGCTTAAATCTGCTTTAAAGAGTTTTGACATTTTGGAAGATGTAAATGTTTTGTTAAAATACTTTCTGTACAGTACTGGTCAAAAGTTTGAAATAATTAAGAAAAAATGTTTTCTACTCACCAAGGCTGCATTTATTTGATACAGTAAAAAAAATAATGCTGTCAAATGATTAATCGCGATTAATCGCATCCAAAATAAAAGTTTTTGTTTACATAATATATGTGTGTACTGTGTATATTTATTATGTATATATAAACACA